GGATTTCCAATCTCTCTACACTCCCACCAATCCACGCGAGAGGGCTTTCGGCTCGCCGTGTATTTAGAGTGCCGCCATGCCGCAACAGACACTATACATTTACAAACACATCCATATCTTCTCCGAGAATCGAACCCGCGCCCTTTGGTACCGTAGTAGGATCCCCCAACCGCTATACCGTCTGGGCGACTATAGAACATGTATATCCATGAATTTCCAAAATTACATGTATGTCCAATAACATGTCCAAAATTTCATATATGTTCAATTATATATTCATTACATGCATTTCATAACGCCTTAAAGATATAAATAATTCATAAAAGTCGAATATATGGATATAAGGAATGCTGTTTGTATGAAGACGAATGCAAGAAGGGGGAAGGTTTTTTTTTTATCTGGCGCTAGTAAACATTTAATTAAGCTCTTCATGTGTAGAATGTGCTCTTTCATATCGGCAAGTAACAGTCATAATCTGTTAGTTATGAAAGCAATTTATTTTCTTGCAAGTAAATGTTCAGGATATACACAGCCAAGAGATGGCTATTTAGTATCGTTTTCAGGGCTATTCTAATAGTAATAGCTACTGTCAATATGGTGCAGCGCCCTCTATCGTTGACAATATCTATTAAATATTTACTCTCTCCACTGGTATTTCCCTTCTTAGGCGTCATTTTAGTGAGAACCACATTTCGTTGCGTATATTTGTTCAATCAAAAAAAAAAAAAAAAAAAAAAAAAAAAATTATAACTCTTTGCTATTTTTTACCATTCCATATATGTTTGCAACTGCAAAGAAAGTATTATCTAAATTTTATCTTTTATTTTTTAAATTTTTTTTACGTATTATAGCAAAGAAATGTTTGATGTTCCATTGTATATCCATTTCTGTGAACAGAGTCATTAAAAATATTTTTAGAAGCAGTTAAGAATACATAAAAAAGAGCAAAAGTTTTTCCCACTTAAACATACGTTTGAAAAATAATCTTTATAACTTAAATGCATTCTTCAGAGATAGCCTAAGACCTACTGAAACTCAGTTTTTTACAAATAAATTCTGACGTAATTTCTATTGTGTGATCCAAACGAATTTAGTTTCGATTTTCAGAGCGTTATGGCCTACATTTTATGATCGTGCAGTGACTTTTAATCCAAGTATGCGAGGGACAATTAACTTACGATCTGAAAACTTCAGACTATAATATAAAAACTCAAAAATATCCCACTAATAATTTTGAAAATTAAGCGTAATTAAAATAATTAAAAACATTAGCATATCATGCAAATATTTCGCTTTCCTTTCAAATAAAAATAACATCTATTGTTGGTGACTCTTGGAACTAAATCTTTAGCGTTGAGTAACATTTAAAAGCGTCTCGTATTAAAATTTCAAATTAAAAGTTCCAGCATTTCTTGCAACAAGCTTGTAAAGTAAAATTATGCAAACAAAGAGTATTGAACTATAAAAAGTTACATCACTGCGTGAATAAAATTAAAAAAAAATTATAAATGTAAAGAGGGGATTGCAATCGATAGTTTCCTACAAATCTTCATCAGTTACATTAAGTTGGATGTTGATGGCAATATAAATAAGAAGTAGAACTAGAAATTCTATACATTATAGACATTAGAAAAGCATTTTATTCCTGTACATTCAGGATATAAAATATATTTTTTAAATTATTATTGAAAATTATAAATAAAATATTTTTTTAAATGGCTCACTGTGTTACAATGATGAGGAATGTAGTTGCATAATGTCGAAGATAAATAAAAGACTTTTCTTTGTAAACTCATAAGGTTTGTTGAAGCAAGAAATGAGAAAAATGTTCAGTGCTTTCGACTGGAATGGAACTGCGTACATCCTGTTTCACTTACACCTCGAAGTCACGCAAATAGGAAGGTGTATTTGATTATGGCAAAGCACACTAGGGCTATCTGCCTAAGGGGAGGGACGCCTTCGTGGAGGACGTTTTAAGGGACACTGGCTCGTATACACGTTACACATAGGGAAAACCACGAAAGCACCCATGCAACCAGCCCGTTCGCGGGATTCGAACCTCGGACCGAACTACCAGTGTTCAGCGACTTTACGGCTCGGCCGCTGGTGGGCCTCAAATAGGAAGGAGAAAATCCTTTACAACTTATTATCAAGTAATAATAACGTGTGATCGTGTTTCTAATAGCTCTTTGTAATGATCAGAATTTAATACTGACTGAAAAAAATAACACCTCTTAGAGGTGCTAATAAACTTTATTTACACAAAGTAAAGCAATTGATCCCTAGATCTTGATTAGTTATAAGATAGAATTTTTTGCGTATGCAGCGCAACGAAATTCGTGCATATTTGTAAGATTTAATAATGCATTTACGCGTTTTTGTTTGAAGAAAAAAGTTAATTTTTTATTTAAATAAACTCTTCTAAAATGCTATCAAGTTACTTAGCCGCTTAGCTTTATCAAGTTACTTAGTTACTTAGCTTTATCAAGTTATTTAGCCGCTGAAATGTTTTATTAATATTTACTTTTTTAATGCCACATAAAACATTAAAAGACATCTCTTGATGGTTATTAGAAGGCAGAAGGCAAAATATTTAGATGTAATAATTCAATTTTGTGGCTTAAAAAAAAAGGCTCAAAATTATTCCTTTTATTACACAATACCAGGATAAGGTAGTTGAATCATGCAATTTAAGGTTGAAAATACTCGACAAAAATTTATTATTAAGCAGATAGTAATTTCTTTTATGATGAGGAAATGGGTATTCAAGTATCGTTATCTCTAATTTTCAACTTCCCATTCTTGAGGATTAATGGAGATGGACAAAGGCGCAGAGCTTTCTTACAACCATCTTTATGCTAGTATGAAGGCCATTTCGGGAAATTGTTTGACTTTTGCTAAATATTTTACGCAATTTAAGCAAATTTCAGTTAAGCAGCATTTCAATCTTAATTATAAACAATTTTAGTTTAAAACAACTTTTTGAATTTCAATGATACTGGAATAGTATAAACTGTATTAATTTTGTCTCCACCCTTGATGAAGAACAAAATTAAGGCAATCAAATTCTGTTCCAAGATTTTAGCGATTGATGGCTTTGTCATTTGTTTTTTTAATTTTTATGTAAATTTTGTATCATTTCCTTAACCTTTTCCAAATCATTTACAACTGTTTGTACTTTGTATCTTGTACTTTTTGTAACTTTGGAAAGTTTAAGCCTTTTAAGTTGGAAAGTTAAAAAATTACCCCTTAATATTTGCTGCATTTGCTCAAAATTAAATTTTATTTGAATCAAATTAGTTTTTATAATGTAATTATTATTTTAACTTATTTTTAATAGCCTCTTAATATATATATATTCACACACATCCAAGAACAAATAGTTTTGATTTTTAAAATTTCTTCACATGAAAAACTATGTAACGGCCATTTCATTATATAATTGGAAACAATAAACCATGTTTAATAAAGCTAATGAAACTAAGATGTCATTGCACAATGATTATTTTTTGTCTCTTGGGCGTCATTTATTTTAAATACATGAAGGTCAAAATGAAAACAACGCAATTCCGAATGAGTAAAGGCGTTTCCTACTATGAGAGAAAGTTAAGGTCAGAGCATTTTTATATGATATTAAACGAGTAATATTTGTTTTTGAAGCATTATTATTATTAGGTTTGTGATGTTTTAAAAATATATCTTTAAATTCACATCTGTAAAATATATTAGTATCACGTTTTTTAATGAATCGCATGCTTAACGATGTACTGGTAAAAATAATCTAGAGACAAAAATAAATTACAGATGCAATTAAACAAACTAATAATGCTTATAATACAAAGCATTATCACGATGTTTCAAAACTATTTCTTTAAATTCACGTCTGTAAAATATATTATTCTTCATGTTTTTTAATGAATCGCATGCTTAACGATGTACTGGTAAAAATAATCTAGAGACAAAAATAAATTACAGATACAGTAAACAAACTAATAATGTTTATAATACAAAACATTATAACTAATAATGGATGGAAGGTATTAACAGATTTAACCTTTTACAAAAGCAATCTTTCTTGATTGCTTTTGTAAAAGGTTAAATCATTACCATTGTAAAAGTTAAATGTCATTATGCACTTTGTTCTGCAGATGTAATGTGAGACTTTTACAAACATTTCTTCATTAAATTTAATATTAACTGCTAGTAATTAGCATTTTAATGCATTCGAATAATTAAATTAATTTTAAAGCGCGAACATTCTTCAGTTCTTAATTTTTTTACACTAGAGTTACTAGAGTTATTTTTGTTAACTGTTATTTTCTGGGCGTAAATTTTAATTATATTTGCAGCTATGGTACTTTTAACTGAAAACTGAAATTTGAGACATGCACTAATTGAGAGAAAAGTGCATCATAAAGTTGATTTATATAAAGTGGAGTTTTCTATGATATATTGAATCTTCTGTGGGAAAAAGAATAAACCCGAACAATCACTAAAAGATTCAGCAATGGCAGTTTACAAATGTTAATACTGTATTTTCTATATTACGTACCTTACAATACGAATAAAAAGTAATATAGCTTTCTGTGACGTATGATCAACATCACACGAAAATGATATTTGATGAATTTAAAATAAGCGTGATTTTAAACTTCTAGTAGCATGTATAACGCAGAAAATATATTCACACATTCGCACTAATTCATGGAAAAACATTCGCACTAATTCACGGTATGAGACTTTGCAATTAGACGTGCGAAACATATACACTGACATATAAAAAAGCACATGTAAGGAGGATTAACGGTAGCTCTTTGGAGTGCTACGAGATCGATTTGACTTGAAAGGAAAAAATCGATCCGTTTCCGTAAATAATTAAACAGCAATCTGGTTCAATTTCTCAAAGAATATTGCGCTAAATTATTATCGTTTCTACCGATATGACATTGAGTACAAATACTTAAGAGCATTGAAACTGGAACAGAGGAAATGATATTTACGAAAGAATGCCGGATAGATGAAACATTTCTGCAAAAAGGTATGCCAGGTACCCCATAATAAATGGAAACATGGGCTCTATGACTGCGACAGATGTGGTGTATCTGGACAGAAATGCTGTCAGTATCCCGAAGATTATTCCAATCACTGTTCCACCGACAGAAACCACGAAGAAGGAAGCCACGCCAGCAAAGTAGTCAATTGGAAGAATGTTGGGGACTCCCATCTCTGTGTAGCCCTCAAACATGTGGTATAGCACCTATCAACAGACAGAGAAAAATAATGATCTGTTAAACAAATAGCGTAATTTGTCGCTCAAAATAAAAATTTTAAGAGATGAAATACAAGAAATTCACAAATAAAAATTATTAAAAATTACAGAAAACAAGGAAAACATCCTTCTAAAACAAGTTTTACCACTGTACAATATATTGATTAAATTACTTTAAATTTTCAGTAATATTTTTTAAAGTGCAAAATACAAATTAAATACTTATAAACATTTTATAACTTTGATAGAACGTAAGTTATTATGTATTCTTCCTCTAATTTTGTTTCCAAGCAAAAGTTCGCAATAAAAGAGATCTTTTTACAGTTTCGAAAATTTAAAACGCTATGTTTTATTAGCGCAAAATATCTTGGTAGTATACTTTTCGGCAGTGCCAAATATTAAGGAATCTTTCAAATATCTAGGTAGCTTGATGAGATATTTTATGAAGATGCATAAATATTACAATGCTGCCAGTTTGTCAAATAAGGATAAAATATTATATACGAAATTACATAGATTACAGTTTAAGATACGTCTATATATAGCGTAATAATATATAACATCTATCCAAATTTTGACATTCAATTTCGATAAAGATATGTGTATGTAAAGAAATTATTCAGTATCGAATATTTGTATGAATGGTTAAATCCCGATTTAAAGTGTTTTTTTGTTAACTGTAATTTTCTGGACTTAAATTTTAATTATATTTGTAGCTATGGTACTTTTAACTAAAAACTGAAATTTGCGACATGCACTGACTAATTGAGAAAAAAAATGCATCATAAAGTTGATTTATATATATAAATTGGAGTTTGCTATGATATCTTTAATCTTCTGTGGAAAAAAGAATAAACCCGAACAATCACTAAACGATTCAGCAATAGCAGTTTAAGTACCTTAAATACGGTTATATTCATTTGCTTATTATTGAAAAGTTACTGCTTTCAAATGTTAAAGCTGTTGTTATATCGCTTAACAAAGATTAATTTATATGAGAGGATTAATAAAAAATTAGATATTCGATTTAAAGTTTCTAGGTCTTGCAGAAAGAATGTATTACTGAAAGATTATTTTTGTTTTACAGCAGGCTGTACATAGCTAGTGACATCGTTATTCATTTCACTAAACTAATTATCTAATATAAAATTAATTTCGGATAATTAATGGATACCTATCTAACTTTTTTATTTTTCACTAATATATAACTTATGCATGCTTACATTTTGCATTAAATTAATCAGTTAAAACTTTTATCTCTTTGAATTTTCAGTTCCTTTTTCGAATTCGCACCACTTACGGAAGACAAAGTAAATAAAAACAAAGAAATGAGATGTAATGAGGCTATAAATATGCTGCAATAGTGGTTGTTGCTTGCGTTCACTAACACACGACTGCTTATGACTACTTAATTTTCTAAACTTAAAGGGCACAAGGCGCGTACGGATTCACCAAATTCCTACAAAAATTCTAAATTTCATTTTTAGTTTCCAAACAAGTGATGTGTGCAAAAGGAAATTTGTAAATTCAAATGAATTTTAAGAGTTTTATAAGGAATTTCCGTCTTAGGCATGGAAATGAACTAAGACGGAAATCTAAGATTTCATGCCATACATCCATAGGAATTAAAATGCCATACATCTAATATTATCTAACGTCTTAGATGTATGGCAACAACTTTACAATAAGGACATCTAAGATTTTTTAAAAGAAGGTTGATATTTGAATTGTTTCTTGCGTTTATTTTTTAGTGAATGGGTTTCATGATTTTGATAAAATTGATCAGAGAACTGCGCGTACATTATGATATTGGTAAACTTTTACAAGGTTGTTAGGCTTTTCGTAAAATTATGACAATTGAGAAACAAAAAGCAGTATGCATATTACAAGAAATAATTCCTTTTCGGTGGTATTTTATAATTGTTTAAATCCCTGCAAGTTTTATGTGCAATCTGACTGATAATGCAAAATGTTGTAGATTTCTGATTCAGTTTGATACGCAAGACTTGTGTGAATATAAGTGAAAACAACATATATCTGTATTTTAATTCTTTTTGAAACAATGTTAGTTTTCTATCAATGTGAAATTGTACATTTACGTAAAAGTATGCATAACACACATAATTCTAAAGTATTTTGGAAGTTTTTAAAAAAATCAAATTTTTTCCTTCCTTGTACGAAGTAAAGGAAGTGTTATAAAAAAGAAGCATTTCGGGTATCATATATCAACAGAAATATCCATTTTGACAGTTCCCAAATCCATTTGGACGATTTTTGTGTGTGATGACTGTACGTACGGACAGAACAATTGAATTATTTTTCCAAAACAGCTCTTTATTCTGTCCTATTTGTTTATTTTTGTAAATAAGATTTGAAACAGATTCAAAAGGAATTTTTCGTGACGTCTGTGGCACGTAAGAACGTATGTATGCAAGCTTCTCCCATAACTCGAAAACGATTATCCGTAGAATTCTGAAATTTTGTGAATGGGGCTGAAATAACATCTAACTGTGCACCTCCAGTTTTTATTGCAATCGGTAGAACCAAATATAATGACCAACAATGACGAGAGTGTAAGAGAGTGATATATAAGGAATACAGGCAAAGTAGTAAAATTGTTCGCAAGCGCTTTATAAGCATTTCAGTGCAATAACCGAATAGTTATGACACAAAGGACGCATTTGGATGATTTTTTACACCGTCTGAATTATCAGCCGTCTGGAATGCGGGCGTACCCAACTGGAAGTATCAGAAGAACTTGGAATTCCCAGAGTGTCAACTCCAGCCTTTGGCAACGATTTGAAGATGATGGTAATGTGAGTAGACGTTACAGCACAGGTCGTCCCAGAGTTACAACGCCGAATGAGGACCGGTATTTGGCAGTTACTGCCAAAAGAAACAGGCGGAGCACAGCCTCAGACCTGTCTCGTCAGCTCTCTTCAGCCACTGGTACGACAATTTCAAGGCAGATCCGTGTACAGACGCTTAGGGCAGATGCAGATTGGTCTATATGCTTGTAGACCTGTCAGATGCGTTCCACTTAATGCAACTCACTGTCGCCTGCGGTTAGCCTGGAGTAGAGAGCATGCATTGTGGACACCGCAACAGTGGGCTTGTGTGATGTTTTCCGACGAGTCCAGGTTTAGCTTGCAGTCTGATTCTCGCCGAAAATTCATATGGAGAGCTCCAGGTACCCGTTACCACCAAGAAAACATCATTGAACGACACCGTTACGGTGGTGCAGGAGTGCTCGTTTGGGGTTGAATTATTCTGGGTTCCAGAACTGACCTGCATGTTCAAATTGGAAACATGACAAGCCAAATCTATCGGGACGTCATTCTTCTGGAACAACATGTACGTTTGTTTCGGGGCGCCATGGGCGCACCAATTTGTGTTATGGATGACAACGCCCACCCTCACCGTGCAAACATCGTAAGCTAATGCCTTCAATCGGAGGATATCACCCGTATGGACTGGCCAGCATTCTCACCGGACTTGAATCCAGTAGAGCACGTGTGGGACATGCGTGGCCGACGAGTTGCAGCCCGTCAACCTTCTCTTACATGTCTACCGGAAATTCGGAGAGCATTGCTTTTTGAGTGGTGTAATATTTCCCCAAGATCAGATCGATAATTTTATACTCAGCATGCCTAGGCGTTGTACGGACTGTATTGCATCGTCTGGGAGACATACAATGTATTAACAATCATACCAACCATGTAATATTGGTTTTTTGTAAATAGATGTTTTTTGTAATTTGCTCCAGGGAGAAAAAAATCGCTATTTTTTTTAATAATATCAAACATATAGCATCTGTTTTTGCTCTTTACCTTTTGTTCCATAAATAAACTTTACAAATAAGTCAAATTTGTTTTGCTTCTAACTCTTCCTTTGCCTGATTTTGCATTATCCTTAATTTATGGACATGAGTGTAATTAAAGTGCTCGCCTAACATTTTCACATTTAATATTTAGATTTTCTTGGTCTACAGCCAGTCAGTGGGTTTCATTGGATTTCCTTTCTTGCCATTCTTATCTATGTATACAATTTGTAACGCTGACTCTGACTTCTTTAATTGGTAAATCTAGGCATCCATCGAGAATTTGTTCCAACGAACACCCTTTCCAATTAAAAGCTTCAAAATAGCAGCTATGGAGTTTAAACTGTAGTTTAGTATTAAAATTACACATTTTTGGCTTATATTTTTGTATATGTGTATAAGTAAGACATTGTAATTATATGATAATTTAAATTGTACAATATTCTTACATTGGTTTTATACGCATTCCCAATTTTATTCATACTTTCAAATTCCTCATCAGTTTTTACAACAAATTTTTGTAAATATGTTCTTTATTTGACCACTCGGGGAATTACCTTGACCTTTTAAAAATATTAATTATTGATTTAAATATAAATTTTATATATCAGTTTTTCACAATTAAAAAAATTATTCAAGGAGACGGAGGACATAAGTCAACTCTCTTCCTCCAAATCAATAATAATATACTTACATTTTTATGTATGCATTGTCCTACCTTATTTTTTGTATGTTCTATCCTTTTTGTTTTAATTATTTAAAATGCACGATTTTGATGCATACCTTTACAAATTTTAAACCTCTTTTAAGTTTATTACAAACTTTTAACAGTTTTAAAACAGACCTCTTGGGTATTAATATTTCCTAATTTCCTTTTCCAATAGTTTTACATTTTCTTTCCTAATATATAATCATAAACAGAAAATTATATATCATACATATATGTGATGTACCAGCTTTTGTCCGGAATAAATAGATTGGTGAAGAAATATAGATGTAGTCGTAGCTTAAATTATCAGACGATAAGTTTAAAAAACAGGATCCATTTATTATTGGTCAGGAGAAATAGCAGTTACAAAATCATATTTCCGGAGTAAATAAAAAAGAATTTCTAATAACTTTTTGTATGAAGTTTACTGCATCGTTACATTAAAGAAAAAGACCCCGA